CCACGTCACTGAACGACAATTCAGATGCACTCTTCCTTTCTTCGGAGATGGACAGCTGCCAAGTCATGTTTATAGGAACCAAACCACTACCAACAATATTTGTTCCAACCGTCCTTGATCTAGGCCACTGTCTTCTCAATCATGCTACAGCTGTTTCTTTTCCAGTTTCCAGCTTAGATGTTGCTACAAAGTTTCATCTTTCTTTTGAGGCAGAGAGCGATTTGAAAAGATTAAACTTTTTCCAATCTCTTTATTCATGCCAGAATGTTCTTTATGCTGTTCCGTTTCTTGTTCACCCGAAGAGTTTTAATCTCTCGATCAATGATTCAGCTGACGTAATCGTCATATTTAGACCTGTTTCTGAAGGAAAATTTTCGCGTATAATACATATTTCGTCAGAGTTTGGTCATCAATGGCGGGTGCTACTTGAGGGCTGCGGGACAAAGTTGAAAGTCGACTTATTGGAATTAGATGGGCACGCTCTTAGAGAGAAAGAAGCTGAGTCTGGATTGTGGTTCGGAAATGCAACCATGTCCAGTCGCAATGCAAAGAAAAAACTGACAGTAAGAAACCACACCTTGACTGCTCTTCGGTTCTACTGGAAGATTGAGTCCGCACAACACCCGGCATTCGTCGTGCAGCCTAGCTGTGGGGTGCTGGAAGCAGAGTCAAATGGAACATTTGATTTTACTTTTTGTCCGGCAGAAATCGAGGTCTATAGACAGCGTGCAGTTTTCTACGTGGACACGCGCCACGCCTTTTCTTTTCGTGCCGACTCCTGGGAGCAGTTTCAAAGCAATCTGGCCAATGCAGATAAATTAGCCCAAGAAGTTATAGCATCAAAACATGGGGACGAAGTCTCAGGTGCTGTGTCTCCGGAGGTAGCTTTAGTATGTGATCAAGGTTTTTCAACCAAGGACGTAGACAACAACGGATATATCATGAAGGCCCTTGATATTGAGTTGATTGGAGTGGGAGATCCTTTCGATATTGAAATTTATCCTCCCTTGCTGCTATTCTCAGAAATGCTTGTTCAAGGTAAAACATACACACGAGAGATACATCTAAGAAACAACACTCTTGCCGATATCACCTTCTCGTGGCAAGTCTCAGAAACTCCGTGGGGCATCGCCAAGGAACTTAATTTTGTTTCATTTCTTCCCATTACTGGTAAAATAGTAGCTCTGGGAAGCACCACTGTGAGCGTTACTCTAAGAGCTACAAAAATTGGACCTATACAAGAGGCTGTGACATGTAGTTTTATGGATACTGGCTATTTGCAGCTACCTTTGCTAATAGAAGGCTGTGTGCAAGGACCACGTGTTTCTATCCTTCAGCCTATGCTGGACTTTGGACTGGTTCAGGTACAGCTAAATATTAAAGTTTCTTTTCATGTGGTATTGAAGTTCACTGTCTAGGTAGGAACGACTGCTTCTACACAGCTAACGCTCACCAACAGGAGCATTGTAGAAGCATCATTCAAACTTCTTGCAGTGTGCGAAGGCTCTGATATTAATGAGCAATTGTCACAGGCAATGAGCAATTGTAAAGATGAACTCTTTTTTAGGCCAGACAGTGGTACTGTACTCGCGAGGGGAACAACAAATGTAAAGGTCGACCTGCACGCAAAGGCCTGTGGGCAAAAGGGTTATGCAATTGTTTGTCAAGTGGTTGACGGTCTCTCTCCCACGCAATATGCTCTAGTGAGAGCATTTGTGGATTCCCCAAAGGCGTACTTTGACCCTTGCAGATTTGATCTTGGTATAACATTTCTCTACAAAAAAATCTCAAGAACGGCTACATTACACAATCTTACCGGTTTGACAACCTACTATAGGTGGCCCATTTGTGACATAAATATTGGAGACTCTTCTTCAATAAAGATCGACATCACGCCCAGAGATGGAGAACTTGCCCCATACGGTTCTCAACAAATTTTTTTTCGCATGACTCCACTAGAGATCGGTGAGAAGGAGCTAATTTTGACGTGTGACATCCTGGGAGCGGACGTGCCTATTGGTGTAATATTTCGGACTTACATTTCTGATTTTCGATGCAGCTACCACGTTGTATGGCCAAGTGAACTAGACAACAAAGCAGACCCACGTTCAAATATCAAGGCCTTATCAAAATTGTTAATAGACACTACCAATCCTTGTTCACTGGATTTTGGTAATACATGTCAACTTGGATGCGTTTACTGGCTAAGGCTAGTTGTTCAAAACCACACTGATATTTTTAGCAAGATACACGTTGGTGTAAACAAATACGGAAGTGGCTACCCTCCCCCCCTTGCAAAAGACGACTATGTCGTACTTTCTGGTCTTACTGGAAGGCAGCTTACATTACCACAGGCAACAGACTCTAAATCCGTTTTGAAACTTAAAAATCGGAAAGTTCCCCCAATATTAGACTTTCCCGATGAAGTTCACCAGAAGTACTGGTCCGTTTTTGGGCATTTGATGGTTTCTCGCAGGCTGGAAGTTGAGATGCACAATATTCTTATCAGGAACGGTGAAGCATTATCTCTACTTGTCTACCCGGGTTGCGAAGGCCTTTTGGAAAGCCAAGGGCAGTGGTTCTGTGACATTTTTGCGTTTAGCTGCTTGCCAGGCTTCTACTCAGACATTCTAACATGCTCAGTAAGTTTCTGGAGCTATATAAATCTAATTCTTTACGGTATTTGCGTAGGTGGGAGGACTTCCACCAGCTGAAATTCCAATTTCAATTGGAGTGACGGGCACGCCTTTGTTTGCAAGGCCTCAACACCTCGAACCAAGAGGCTATCAACATCCTAAAATCAATTCAAGTCTTGTTTTAAGATGGCCACCGGTGTCCGTGGGAAATCCTAGACGCACCAAAAGGTTTTGGGTGGCTAACGTATCTCCATACCCTTTGGAAGTCATGTGGATGATGATGGTGCCTGAACCCAGTCGATTAGCGACAATCCACTTGGTTCATGCCGATGAGTCCTGGGTGCGTGTGAGTTTACTGGGAAATCCCGAATTTGGCCCAGTGCAACTACGTCTAGACATAATAGATAGAGAACGGGTAAAATTTCATACAAAAGAGATTTTTTTACATCCCAAGGAAGATCATCCATTTACTGTTTGTCCAATGAAACAGGTATATAATACTTTATAGTCAAATTTTCATGCCTAATAGTTCTTTCCAGGTCATTCTTGCTCACGGAAACGTTAGCTTTGAGGTAACGTTCGATACCATGCAAGCTGCACACTTTACCTGTATCCTAGCAGGGAAGACACAATTTGCGTCCTATCCAGACGAACATACAGGTGCTTATGGTAAACGGCCGTCTAGACGAGTCACTTTTCTTGAGAAAACTCAGATTATAGAGACGGATACTGTACGACGAAAATCTTCAACGGTAACATTTTCGGATTCACAAACCAAGAAACCGATGTTAACAAATGAGCTAGTTAGGATTACGTCATCGATGGGAAGTTTGAACGAACCAGTTAGAACGTCTCTTCATGCTCTATCCGAGTCAAGTGAACAGACAAGAAAGCCTCCAAAGACAGCGCAACAAGGTTTACTTCAGGATTTACGAGCAGAAAGGCGGTCTTCTTTGAAAAGATCTTCATTGCAACTGACTGGACAAAGCTTACTGGGACCAGAGAAAAGGTCTTCACTGAAAAGATCGTCAATTATGCTCAATGAAAGTGCAAGAATACAACAACAAGTGACTGCCATTTTAGATGATGGCCCAATTGTATTTGATCCCTTGCAAGAGTTTTTTGCTCCATTACGTGTCTGCCTAGAGGCCATTGTATTTGAGCCCAGGTACTTCCAGATCTCTGGGATGTTTCCGGGTTTGAAATTACCCCTTATTACAGGCTAAAACCCAGCATCGATGATCCTGTGGAATATTTCTGCTGTGGAGCCGTTCCATCATCAGATAAATGTTACACCAAGGTGGTGGTTTTGCAAAATGTTTATAATCACAGTCTCACCTTCTCGGTAGCCTTGGACCCACCGTTTTACGTTATTAAGGTTGAAAGTGGCCTTTTGTCTTCAGAAAATGAGGACAATACTCTACAGGCAACAGATCCTCTTGGGCTTTCATGTGTTGTACTGCCTTCCGAATGGAGTATTCGTCTAACTATTAACTTTTGTCCCGAACCGGAAATACTTAGTGAGCATAAAGACCTAAGGTTTGAGAAGGATATTCTTTTAAAGTTCTTTGAAGAGTATACACAGGTAAATTGGCGATTATTTTTTTAGGTGTGAAAAATATTTTTTGTTCTCTCTCTTTCCTTAGGTTGTACCCGTTCAAGCAAAAGTGTTTTTTCCTGCCGTTAAAGTACTTTCAGAATGCATCTGGTTTGGTTCAGTGGTCATAAACGCATCTCAGACACTTGTCTTTAGCGTGACCAATGCAAGCTACTTTGACAGTCAATGGCGTTTAGTAAAGGAGGGCCTTCAAGAAGAGCTAGTGGAGGAGGTTCCTACGGTATGGGTTTCTCCTTACTGAGCTGAACTGTTTTTGTTCATTGTGCAGTCGGGTTTGAAAAAGAAATCAGATAATAGGAAGCCAATGTCACCGGAGCCTGCCCTCGTGCTACCACTTGTGGAGGAACCTCCTGCGGAACCATTTGTCAAAGATCCATTTCATGTGGACATTCAAGGCGGTTTGCTTCCTGGCAGAGGAACTGAAGAAGCTGTAAGGCACGTCGTGACTGTTACCTTTGTACCTATGGAAGCTAAACTTTATAGGCAAGTGTTTCGAATAGAGGTTGCAGATGGCCGGGGCTGCAGTTTGGTAATGGAAGGCCAGGGCATTACCCAAAAGCCCCCAGAAACTGTGGAAGAAGTAGCTGAATCCAAGGGACCAAAGAAGGGCAAGAAGTGAGCGGTCTGTCTGAGGAGGCGCAAAACAAACTAATGACAAATTACCAATATATCAAGTTGATGAGGTGTCATACTAAAATATTTGAATTTTAGACACCCACCGCACCAAGTCTCTAGGGTTCCTGCCAATGTCCGCGCCGGAGTCCCCTCGATCACCCAGAGCGTCGTCGCTCGTCCTGGTGCTGACCGCTGCCCTTGATAGAATAGTCAAGAACGCATCATGGCGCAAGCATGGTAAGCTCGTCCAGGATTGTAAGGCCGTCCTCGACAATCTCGTGGCGTTTATCCCCAGTGCCGGTGCCGAGAGCCCTCTTTTTGATGGTGCCGTGCGAATCAGCGCTACGGATGCTGAGCTGCTAGTGCAACCACTCCTCGCGGCCTGCGATCTCCAGTCGGCCAAGGTTATTGAGCCCGCATTGGATTGTTTTCAAAAGCTCATTGTGCACGGTCATCTGGTTGGGGAGATCGGTACAGGCAACGATTCACAGTCGGAATCCAGCCTCATTCTTAGGATCCTCGACGCGGTTTGCAAGTGTCATGATCTAGGGGAAGAAATAATTGAATTGGCCATTCTAAAGACGCTGCTCACAGCGGTCGTGTCCACCTCACTTAGCATCCACGGGGATCACTTGCTGCGGGCTATCAGCACTTGCTACAACATCTTCCTGGGGAGCAAGGTGGTGGCTAACCAGACGTCCGCAAAGGCGACTCTCACCCAAATCCTCATGGTCATTTTTAGAAGAATGGAGGCCGACTCAGCTTCGGTTCCCTTGCAACCTGTCATATTGACTGATTTGCTCGAAGCCGAGAGGACCACTTCCGACACCTTCGTCCAAAATTTCCTTACAAAGGTGGCCTTGGATTTTGACGTGGTCCTTCACGTTGGTCCCAAGCTTGTTCAGCACGACGATGCTTTCTCTGCTGCCACAGGAGCTGAAAGCAGTAACACCATGGACATGCTTGAGTCAAGTGACAAGGACGCCGTAGATGCCAAACCATGGGAGCAAGTCGACAAAGATATGAAGGACATGGAACTGGACGTGGAGATTGGCAACAAGTTTAAGAGGGACGCCTTCTTGGTCTTCAGAGCTCTTTGCCGCCTGTCGATGAAAAAGCCTCAACAAGAAGGGACACCAGACCCCTTAGCTATACGCTCAAAAGTGCTGGCTTTGGAGCTCTTGAAACTTGTCCTTGAAAATGCTGGCACATCTTTTTGTTTCAATCCGAAGTACGCTCTCATCTATTTTTTTTATTGTTTTACTCTTACCAAATTGAGTTCTGCAGGTTTTTAGATGCAATCAAGCAGTACCTGTGCTTGTCGCTCATGCAAAACTGTGCCGTATCTGACATATTATCTGTTTTTCAGATGTCTTGCTCTATTTTCTTGAGCCTTATAGCAAAGTTCAGGGCCTCTTTGAAAACGGAAATCGGTGTGTTTTTTCCAATGATCGTTTTGAGAGTCATTGAAAATGTTATTCAGCCAAATTACCAACAGAAGATGACTGTCTTATGTTTCATTGAAAAACTATCAGCAGATCCACAGGTACTTCCTGATATGTTCGTGAACTACGACTGTGATGTGGAGTCCACGAATCTCTTTGAAAGGCAAGCTTTATGTTCCACTTAGTGCAGTTTGTTAAAGTAATTTTTTCTATAGGGTTGTGAATGGCTTACTCAAAAGTGCTCAAGGAGCACCAGCCAGTGCAGATACAGGATTAACAGCTGCTCAAGATGCAACATTGAAGCTTACTGCCATGAAGTGTTTGACAGGAATATTAAAGGCGATGGGAGATTGGATGGAGAAGCAACTTGGTGCCTCGAACTCTCCGTACTTCAACAGCTCAGATGTGGAAACCGGCAAACTGGACGCTGCAAGCGTGTCCACAGCAGGAGCTAGTGCTACAGAAGTCGGGGATGAGATCGCTGAACCATTAGAAACAGATCAAGCATCAACTGAAAGTGCAGTTACTTTTGAGCAAAGACGTGTTCACAAGCTTGAGCTTCAGGTAATCTCTATCCCCGCTTCATTGTAAATAAGCGCCAGCGCTGTGAATTTCTTCTGTAACTTTCCACCTTATACACCAGGGATGCATGAAGGACTGGGCATTCAATTACAAGCTCCTTACACTATGCAGGAAGGAATCAAAGTATTCAACCAGAAGCCTCACAAGGGTATTGATTTCCTTGTAAAAGCCAAGAAAGTGGAGAAAATTCCTGAAGAGGTTGCCAAGTTCCTCCTGAGTACCACAGGTCTCAACAAGGGCATGATCGGGGATTACCTGGGTGAAAAAGAGGAGTTTTCGTTAAAAGTCATGCATGCGTATGTTGACTCCTTCAACTTTCATAATATGGAGTTTGACGAGTCGATACGAACATTCTTGATGGGATTCAGACTCCCTGGAGAGGCTCAGAAGATTGACAGGATAATGGAAAAATTTGCGGAGCGATATTGCATCTGTAATCCCAAAGCTTTCACGAGTGCCGACACTGCTTATGTCCTCGCATATTCTGTAATTATGCTTAACACTGATGCGCACAACGTGATGGTGAAAGATAAGGTGAACAAATGCCTCCACTTCCTTCCAAGATCTCACTCATGGGCTATTACAGATGTCTAAAGCTGCATTTATAAAAAATAACAGAGGAATTGACGATGGAAAGGATCTTCTTGAAGAGTTTATGGGAGGACTGTATGACCGTATAGTAAAAAAAGAAATTAAAATGAAAGCGGATAATGTTATTCCGGTCACCAAACCAGCTGGGAAGGACAATAAATTTCCTGCTGGGATTGACAACATCTTGAACATAGTTATCCGAAAGCCCAAAGAAGAGAAGCTGTTTGAGTCCAGTGAAGACGCGATTCGTTATATGCAAGATCAACTCAAAGAAAAAGCTGAGAAACCACAGTAAGATGCACTGTTGTCATTGTTTTGATAGCATTGCCTTCATTTTCTACTAGATCTGCATACTATGCTGTGATAGACGTGGAGATTGTAAAGCCAATGGTAGAAGTTTCATGGGGACCCATGCTTGCGGGGCTTAGTGTCCCACTAGACAAGAGTGACGACGAGGTTGTGACTTCACCATGCCTGGAAGGGTTCAGGCATGCAATACATATCACTTCAGTGATGCGCATGCAAATACAGCGGGATGCTTTTGTGACTTCTCTTGCAAAGTTTACATCGCTACATTCTCCTGTGGATATCAAGCAGAAACACGTGAATGCTATCAAGGTAAATTTAGTGTGATGACGTTATGGTGCTTACCCTGGCCAAATATTTAGGTTTTGCTCAATATTGCAGATGAATATGGAAATTATTTGCAGGACGCATGGGAGCATGTACTTACATGCGTTTCACGATTTGATCAGCTTTATCTCATCGGCGAAGGTGCTCTTCCCGATGCTACTTTTTTTTCAAACGATCCAGAAAAGACTAAGCTATCAACTGCTCCAAAAAGAAAAGGAAGATTGCATTTTGCTGCTCTAGCTGCACGCCGTGGATCATACGACAGTACTGGTGGCAGGCAGAGCCCAATACCTGGTGCAGTCACAGCAGAGCAAATGAGTAATCTCGTTTCAAATCTCGGTTTGCTTGGTCAAATTGATTCGAACGAAGCTAACAAAATTTTTACTCGAAGTCAAGCCTTAAGTAGTGAAGGAATTGTGGACTTTGTAAAAGCATTGTGCAAAGTGTCCATGGATGAACTGCGATCTCCTACTGATCCACGAGTGTTCAGTCTCACCAAAATTGTGGAAATCTCGTAAGTATTCAGGTCACTTAGTGATTTGATTGTGATGTATTCTCTTGCTTGTTGTATAGGCACTTCAATATGAATCGGATCAGGCTGGTTTGGAGCAGGATGTGGAATACGTTGTCTGACTATTTTGTTACTGTTGGGTGTTCAAGCAATTTCTCAGTTGCTATGTATGCCATGGACTCTCTGCGGCAGTTGGCAATGAAATTCATGGATCGTGAAGAGCTTGCAAATTACAACTTCCAAAATCAGTTTATGCGGCCTTTTGTCATCATCATGCAGAGAAGTGCCTCTGTTGAAATACGAGAATTTATCATCCGTTGTGTCTCTCAAATGGTGTGCACTCGAGTTGGCAACGTGAAATCTGGCTGGAAAATTACGTTTATGGTAACAAAGGTTTGAGAGTCATTTTGGAAGGTATCAATGCTTTATCAATTACAGGTCTTTACTACTGCCGCAACAGATAGAGATAGCGGCATTGTCCATCTTGCATTTGAAACGGTGGAGAAAGTTGTCAGAGATTACTTTCAACACATTACTGAAACCGAGAACACAATATTCACGGACTGTGTGAATTGCCTTCTTGCGTTCATAAACAACAAGTTTAATGACGATATCAGCCTCAATGCTCTCGCATTTCTGCGTTTTTGCGCCTTAAAGCTTGGTGAAGGAGAGCTCAGTACTTGTCGCAACAGCCCTGAAAAAGTTCAAAATACTGAAAGTGGCCCTGAGCAAGATGATCATCTCTTCTTCTGGTTTCCTCTGCTTGCAGGTAATAACATCCATCTGAGTTTCGTGGTTTTATTGAATTTTGTCCTAGGATTGGCGGAGTTAACATACGACTCACGGACAGCGATTCGTAAGAGTGCCGTGCACGTCTTATTTGACGTCTTACAGTGCCATGGACATGTGTTCTCAACAAGTTCTTGGGAACAGATATACAACACTGTCTTATTCCCTCTCTTTGATTCAGCAAGGCGATCGATCAAGCTTCAGAACGTGGATAGTGAAAAAGACATGGACGCCTGGCTTTATGAAACGTGTAGTCTGGCCTTGCAGCCACTGGTTGAGCTCTACGTGAAGTTTTTCCCAGTTGTTCGTCCATTTATGCGTAAGGTACTATCTTTGATGAAGGACTTCCTCAAAATACACCATGAAAAAATCGTTGGAATTACCATTGCCTCTTTCGTCCGGCTCATCGTCAAGGGAGGGCCTCAGTTCTCCAAAGTTGACTGGGTGGACATATTACAAGGCTTACAATCAGTGGCCGAGGAGACGTTTCCAAACGTAATGCAGATAGTAACTTTTATGGAGGGTGCTTCAACTGAAGAAGGGTTTACATCTGATGAAGATAGCAAGTTGCAGTGTTTTCTGGCCGAGCTGAAGTTCCACTCAACAGTTCAGCTCCTCCTTGTACAGGCAAGCTTGTTTGTTATAGTTTCAATTTTTATTCTTCTACAGATTTGTATCCTAACCTCCAGGCAGTAAGGGAGATCTATGACGCTTTTGGGCCGAAGATGGCATCGCCTCACGTGACACTGCTTCTTGGAATCTTAAACGTGATAGTGGTGCACGCTCACAAAGTTAACAACGATCTCTTTCTACGCAACAAGATCTACAAGCTTCAGTTATCGTCCCAGATGGGCGATCCACCTTTACTGTGGCTGGAGAGCGAGTCTTCGCAGACCTATATGGAAATACTCCAGAGACTTCACGAGGACAACCCGGTGCTGCTGAAGAACGTGGACGTCGAGGCCCGTTTTGTGGAATTTTGCAAGGAGGTCTTGCAAGTTTACGCTAAAACGTCCACTTTCACTCACCAGCCTCAGCGCCTCAAGCCACAGTGGATGATCCCTGTGAGCTACACGAGAAGGAGGGAGCTTACCGCTCGAGCCCCACTCGTCATCATGACTCTTAGAGCTCTTAGCCGGTTTCGCAACACCCCATTTCAGAAGTATCTCAGTAGTTTTTTTCCAGTGCTGACGAGCTTGGTGGGTTGTGAACATGGCTCCATGGAAGTTCAATTTGCACTGAGCGATCTCTTTAGTGAGTGCTTTGGCCCGCTTCTATTAAACTACTAGGTATAATATTTATAAATTGCTGTGCCATTGCGTTTTGTTTTGTTCCATGTGGTACACGTCAATCGATCCAGACTTGCAGTACTTAATGAGAAAAAGTTTATTTGAAATTTTGCGCGTACGCTGCTCCTCCATTGTTGCATATAAAACGGTTGCTAGGTTTTGGATTCTGCTGAAGGAAGAAAACACTCTCACGAGGATGGCGAGCCACGAACATTGCTGTGGAGGCATGTTCTGGGCATACATAGTCTTAAGCATCTGTTTGGTGGTATTCGCTGGCATCATGTCGGGTCTCACGCTTGGCCTTATGTCACTGGAACTTGTAGACTTAGAGGTTCTGATGAAGTCTGGATCCCCGCAAGATCGCAAGCACGCCGGTAAGACTGTTTCCAGTATTTCCTGATGAGCTTAACAATGTGTCCGATTGACAGAGATAATATACCCTGTGGTTAAAGAGCAACACCTCTTGCTATGCACGCTGCTAATCTGTAATGCTCTCGCAATGGAGGCACTTCCGATTTTCTTGGATGCAGTCGTGAACGCTTGGAGTGCAGTCTTGATTTCAGTCACTCTTATCCTCCTATTTGGAGAAGTAGGTGTTGCTACAAAACACGAGGATTGATAAACAACTGACTTTCCTCTCTTAGATACTGCCACAAGCCATTTGCTCTCGTTATGGCTTGGCAATTGGCGCAAAGATGACCCCGTTCGTCCGCATTCTTGTCTGGATATGCTTTCCAATCTCCTATCCAATAAGCAAGGTAAGCAAGTACTTTGCCTGATTTTGCTCATCACAAGGAAATTTCAGCTACTGGATTCTGTTCTTGGAAAAGACCACGTTGCATTGTTTCGTAGAGCAGAGCTCAAGACACTAGTCGGGCTTCATGACAAAGAAGTAGGATCTGCCAAATCATATAAATCTTTTAGCATCGACCATTGGTAGGCTGGAAAAGGCGGAGAGCTAACTCACGATGAGGCGACAATCATAACGGGAGCATTAGATTTGACAGAAAAAACAGCAGAAGACGCAATGACTCCCATCTCTAAAGCCTTTTGTGTCGACATCAACGTAAAGCTTGACTTGTACTAAGTTTGTGCAAATCATGCATATAAATTCTTTTAATTTGGTGTTTTCACTTGCAGAGAGACGATGAAGGCCATTATAGATCGAGGACATAGTCGAGTGCCGGTGTACTTTGAAAGACCAACTAATATAGTTGGTCTGATACTGGTAGGCAGAGAAAGGAGGTCCGGCTAAATAGCATTTTTTATAGGTCAAGACCTTGCTTACAGTTCGTCCCGAAACTGCAACTCCACTTATTAATCTTACGATCCGAAAGATACCAAGGTGCGTAAAATTGTGGCTAGTTGCACTAGAATTTTTCTTTGTTGTTCGGTGTATGTGTACACGTTCATCAGGGTTGGAGAAAAGATGCCGTTGTATGACATTTTAAACGAGTTTCAAAAAGGACATAGCCACATGGCAGTCGTTGTGAGGAACACGCGATTAAAGCCTGAAAGCCTAAAAAAGAAACATTCTCTGGACAGAAGACTCAGTAGTAGAAGATTTAGTAAGAAAGGTATTAAAGCTAAAATCTCATTTTGTTCAGGCACAAACTGCAAGGATAAACCTCTGTATAGTTTATTAGAATAAATCAACTTCGCGTCCTGACTAACAGGCTCGCAAGTGACTGAGATCCAACAGGAATTTTATCCAGCCCATGATGGTGAGAGCACCCCTCGGAAGTCAAAATCAGAACGAAATGCCTCTGAGGACATACTGGATGTATTGCCATTGGTAAGTGTAAACGATGACGAAGCTGTGGGGATTATCACGATGGAAGATGTTATTGAAGAGCTCTTGCAGGTGAATAATGACATCTTTCTTCATGCTACTTTCTAAGGGTTTTTTTTTTCTTCTTCTTTCTTTCTCAGGAAGAAATCTGGGACGAATCCGACCAGCAACGCGAGCTTTACAATAAGTAAGTCTTTTCTGCATTAGAACAAAGAGGACATGTCACGATGACGATAGAACTCTTGACCTGATATTTCTTTTCAGATTGCGAGCCAGCTTAGCGTCACCACGAACACCAAGACATATAGTTCCTACTTCAATCTCAGAGGCAGAATCACTGATGGTTCGGACCTCCATGCAGACAGCCACTAGTTCACACTCTCCACCGCCTGATTCACCAGGGTCACATTCTCCCCCCACACACTCTCCACACAGAAGGTAAGAAATAAAAAACAATGAGCTCTACGAGCTGTTCATAAAGAGCACTCTAGCAATTTTAAGCAATGTCGTCCCTGAAGACAGCATGCGACGTCAAAAGACGCCTGCTTTGAGATCTGAAATAAAACAACTGATAAACGTTATCTCAGATTGTAGAGCATGTAACAATCGATATACTTTTAAACTTTCGTTTCTTCCTGCCAGATCCAGTTTTGACCTCCATAGTACCAGATAAAGCGAGTAGTCCTTCAATTCCACGATCTTCATCAGACTTCCGGTGCTGTGCTGTCCCGCTCCCGGCCTTTAATCGTCTACCAAGTTTGTGAGTCTTTGTTATTTTAGCAGATGGCTTGTGAGTAAAGTTTGTAGCTGCATTCTTTCCACGAAATGTCCGAGCGGCATCATCGTAGGCATGTGCTGCTGCGTCTTCTGTAAGATATGTTCCTAACCACAGCCGTTTGCCTGCCGGAGTCCTGATTTCTGCACCATACGTTCCCCAGGGCCTTCTACAAACTCCAATATATCTTGATTTTTGAGGCCTTGTATCCAAAGACCAGCTCTTTGCCTTGTGAGAGCCACAACTCAGGCTCATTGTTTCGAAATTTATCGAGCCTATGTCAACTAGGCAGGAAACTGTTTTTCTCTCCCAGTGTCCGGTCTTTTCTACTCCATATATAGTAGTATCCTTTCGAGTACAATCTTTTAAAGTAGAAAAATCATGGTCTCTATCCGGATATGTCATCTGATTATTTTGGCGATCACCTGCAAATTCCAGGTGATGAGCCATGGTAGCTGCGAACACTGAAAGAGAATACTCTCCCTGAGGCAAAACACTGTTTTCAATCTTGTGCAGTTTACAAAACCTGAAAAGCCAAAGTCAGCAACGAACCTGGATTGACCAAACAACCTTGGATCTTGAACACTGGTTGAAACAGGCAGAAAACAAAAGCTTTCTCCCTTGAATTCACATCGCCTATATGGCGCATTTGGATCCTCCAAAATGTGCTTCACGCAAAAACGATAGCCATGCAGCACGTATTGAAAACAGGTTTCCTTTGATTGACAGATAAATCTATACATTTGTTCGTGGGCCGAATTCGTCATAATTTAGGCCAGTCACCGCTTAAAGTGGTTG